TACCGCATAAACTCTGAAGTCACTTTCCACTTTCAAAAGTAGAAGCTTAAAGATGTTTGTCAGTGAGGAGTGATAAGGGCCACCAGCAGACGGACTGAAAGCTGCTCAACGGAAACGCTAGGAAATAAGTAGCTTCCACCAAGACTTGGATAATGTTACCACCGAACTTCTTTCAACCGCTAAGTTGCCCTATTTCCATCAAATGGTGGGTGTTTTTAGAAACGTGATAAGCATCAGACATTGGCAAATGTTCATTAAAAAGGTGAAATATGGTGCAGTAGGCCGTACTTCGAGACATGGAATCAAGCCAAGTGTTAGTGGTCAGCACAGAAATCCTATCAGCAATCAGCACCCCGGCCGGACGCGCAGTAGTGTGCGTCAGCCAAACTGGTATATCTATATGGAATGAACAGCTTACTGTTGTTAAACTTTTTGGATTTAGCATAGTAATACTCCATGACAGAAAGCGTAAGATCTGCCAGTAGTGGACTAAAATTGCCACCTTGTGGGACACCTTTAGTCTGCTTGAACGTATTATTAGCAAAAAGACAAAAACTGTTTCGTAAAATCCAAACCGACAGTGTGATCTTTTTTGACACTAATTTTCCTCCTTGTGTACGTAACAGGTATATTGAGTGCCCCGCAGAAACATGTTGTCGCAAACGAATCCAGAAAAAAAGAATGAAGAGCAAAGAGTGAAATATTGGCTCGGTTTGATGACGGTACTGAATGGTACTCAGCTGAGCTTGTACAGGCTTGTAGAAGTCACCTTATGAGGACCAGAAAGTTCATGTGACTGAAGTCGCACTCGAATAGTTTTGCAGCTTCACGGGAGTTACTGGTTCCTTTCCGGTTAGACTTATTGGATAACATGGACCAACCAAAGGGACTGACGAAGGTGCAAAATGCCCCCTCCTAGTCAGATAGCGTCCGAGTCTTTCCTTTATTTATCACTAAAGTATTGCATCAAATGGTGACACGGCGACATGCTTGAAAAGTTCCCGCATATAAACAATAGGAATGAAAATAGGGGGAAGTGAAGGATTCAAGAAAGCTTGTCCGGTTTTGCTCACCTCAATACGTTTACCGAGTTGCTCTTCACCGTACGGACTTTCCAACCACTCTTTTCGTTCCACACCCTTGTTTTCAATCGCTCCAAAGTCCAAATCTGCCAAGGTCGACTCCATGACATCCAGTGGTTTCGAGTCAACAATACATAACGACATACTGAAAAGAGAAAAGATGACGAAAGCTAAAGACAAGACTGAATCTCCTAGTGAGGAATGAAGGATTAAATTATGCTACCATGTAGGTCGTGTGGGCGGAGTAAGACCCACCATTGAGCTTTGGATCAGTGTTGCCCCTAGTTCAAGAGAGTGAAGAGGAGTGCGCGCCAACGGGGGAAATGCAGTGCTAGCCCTCCGCCCATATCACCACCATGGAATAGGTCTTCGTTTTTATTTATTCTAGACAGTCCTCAAAATTTTCTATACGGCACTCCCGTCACTGATGAGGAAGCGCAGAATAAACGGCACCAACCATTTGGTATACTCCCTACGGTTATCCCTACTAACTTCATCTGCCCAACCATTGCTCAGTTTCACTTACTCCCCATTTCCTGGAGTTTTTCGGATGTGTTTTGAGGGTTTTTGTCCCCGGCACCGTTCACTTCGGCGAACGCCCTGCCCATCGCGGGTGTGCTTCATTCATTCCGTCCGCCAACTGTTTGCCTATCGTTTCCCACAATTTCCGCTCTCCGGGATCTTCTAGAACCGAACTACGAATTTTTGAAATATGTAGCTCACAACTGTGCGCACGCCCCGCCCACAGTGGGCGGGGCTTAGCTCAGTTCATGTGTGTTCCGTACATCTTGGCCCATGCCCTACCCAACCCACCCTTGACCCGCCCCCTCCAACTGGCTCTTCAGGTGATTCCGAATTTCCGGACAGACAGACAGACAGACAAACAGACAAACAGACAGACAGACAGACAGACAGACGTTGCCGTTTATATATAGTAGGATAGATTTCATATTCTGTC